CCGACGGACTGAGCCGAAGACCCTGCAAAAATGACTACAGACATTGCTGCAAAAGAGAGGTTGAACTAACCAGGTGCCATCAAGCTGAAGTCAAAGTGACCGACTACCCACACACGCCGAGTTTTCTACGCTGAAGTTATATAATGTTTTTGTAAAAATATTAATGTCCAAGAAGAATCCACTGAAGTTAAATGATTTGTAAAGATCGAACTTTGTAAATGCTCCTGGTCAAATATCTGAAGTCTTCCAATTGATAAGCGTTATAACAATCACAGTTATAGCTTCCGAAGTTTATAGCACACTGACTATAACAAACTAATAATATATACTCTTTTTTTGGCGCGTCGCAGTTGGTTATATTTATACGCGTGTGGAGACTTTTTAGAAAATTGAGATTACGTAACAATACAAAACTACATTAAGCGTTTACATGCACACACATATATTGTTTATTCTTACACTCGAGAATCTTCTAGAACTTTAGAGAATAGGCAGGAGTTTTGCAATACATATTTAATACTATAAGCTATACATATTTCTAAATATAAACTTAATCTAAACAAACGTTGATATTAAAATAAATATATCATAATAAATCCGTAACAAACTTCAGACATATCTCATGGTAATTGATGTGGTCTATGATAAGGGGTTTCAGCATTAAAATAGAAGAAACTGGTGAAATGTCCAATTTGTAAAAGTTACTAAGCAAGGGAGTTTAAGATAGTATTACCTGAAATGATTGATTCAGTGAAAAACATTATGATAGTTTGTTTAATAAGTTTTCATGGAGCATGCAAAGCATATCAGCAGATAGCTGTTCCTAATTTTAAACAAATAGACTAAACTAGCACTCACCGCAAACTTGAGCTACATTTTTTCTTCCCAAATAGCAAGATTTGACTGTTAATCTTATTGTTTGTTGTTCTCTTTTTAACCACAAAATACACAAAGGGCAAACTTTGCTCTACCTACCACAGGTATCGAAACCCAGTTTCTAGCAGTATAAATCCACAAGTTACGCTTATAGCTTAACCCTCCAGAGTGTCGAGCTCGTTTATAAGTTTACGGGACGCGAATCAAAAATCCTTGGATCAACAATTAGGGTAAGCTAATTACTAGATCACGTCCGACTAAAAAACAGTTCAAAATTTGGAAAGAAAAAATAAACGAGAAAAGTCACTAAAATGATTAGAAAAAGTTAAATTAATGAATTAAGATATATATATATATATATGTGTGTGTGTGAAATTACAGCTAACAATAACAATACATCAACTTAAATAATAAGAAATTAGTATCTACTAGACCACCGTGACCGTTGGGTCACCCACTATTCAGAGGTTATGAAGAATTCAAGCTAATTTCAATAATTAATGAAACTTGTCTTCTCATTTCATTACAAATATGGCGCTATTGTGCACCGTTTTTGCTGTATTTATTTACAGACAGATCGATATGTGGCGCCATTTAGTCTCCCAAAATACATCTAGAAATTTTTATAAAAGTGACCCGAAAAATGGAGCTAACTCGGTAAGCCGTGGGTCGATTTTAACGAAACTTGTTTTATTATGTTTCTATTCTAATTTCATTACAAATTTGGCACTATTATGCGCCAATTTTCCTGGATTTAATTACAGACAAGTACACAAACAAACAAACAAACAATCTCAGAGTTTTAGTAGTATATAGATTACAGATAAATTCTGATTTTACTGAGAAGTTATGTTTTGAAGTTAAGAACAAAGCAACACTATGGGCTATCCGTTCTCTGCCCACCACAGGTATCGAAACCCGATTTCTAGCGTTGTAAAGATGAAC